AGCATAAAGTGACTGTCAAAATATATTATGGGATTTGATGATAACCATTGCCCAGTAGTAAAAGAAATATCGGAGCAATATTGCATTTAGCAGCGGAAAGGCAGTCAATTTGGGTGAAATAGCTAATAAATCTTGAAAATTTGTAAATCCATGCATGAAGGAGCGTTAAGAAGACTTTCAAATGATAATTTTCACTAGGCGATAGATTCTCACTTCTAAATTGCAGTTTAAACTGCGAGTAAACGACTAATTTGAGACCACTTGCACAAATTTGTATCTTTAGTAACTAATTAATTTATAAACCAGATACTAAAACCCGCCAACCTCGATTTTTTGCACTTGGAGAACTTCATGCATATGATGAACTTAACATTTGCTGTTCTTCATTCTCCCATACGTCTGCAGATTATCCCAGATAAAGTTACACAAAATATCCAAACATTAAGTATAATGCAGAGGCTGCTAATCATACAAAATCCTGGGATTCTCTCACGTACTGTTAGTATGTGAAAGTACTATAGCTGCCCTCTATCTTGTATCAACATGTTTATATAATATTTCTTATCATCGCTGTAAATGTCCTGTGAAAATTCCGAATTTATATGATATTGGTTTTATAAATTGTTGAGAATTCTAGCAATATAATCAAACATGTTTTAAACAAACAAAGCCCTCCCTATGGTGCAATGTTCCTTCGTTTTGTAAATATCACTTTGTTCGAAATTTCGCAATAACGTGTAATCCCTGAGAAGTTAGTCAACAAAAGCTTGCAGTTTGAGTGAGTGAATTTGCAACTGGCAATTAATGCAGTTGAGCTCACAGAGCGAATTGAGAAGCCTCATCGAAATCACTCACTCGAATTTCTACGGCTAAGCTATGTAACAATTATTACATAGACTAATTGAGCTTACAGAAAAGAAAGATTTAACGTTAATTTCCGGAAAGAAATTAAGGCTGTTTGATTTTTATAATAGAAATATGACGATATCTTATGTTATTTAGAAAGCCTACTCATACTTACAAAGAACTGTTGGTTATCCATAAGAAGAGGTAGGTAGATGAGAACTCAACTTGACACGAAAAGTGATTAGATGTCCTCCGTACGATTTATCGCTATAGGATATCAGATCCAACAGTTTGTCGCAATTATGGGCGAGGGGAGCGGTCGAAAGATAAAGACAACAATCGGAACTGTGATGCTAATAGAAGATAACTAGTAAACGTTGATTGAGATAAAGTAAAAGGAAGAGGATAACTTTTTGGCGCACGAGCTCAAAGTTCGAGCTAAATCCGTGAAGGTCTTCCGCCAGAGCTCAATCAATCAACGCAATAAAACCTTTCCTGTTCTATATTCCTATGTGTTTGTTGGTTTCCGATTTTTGACCCATCTTCGGTTGCTCAATTTACTTTTCCCAGCTGCACAGGTTTTGCAACATAACCTTCGCTTAGATTATAAGGACCGTTTCCCGTTGTAGAGATTAGCTGAGATCATTTATCACCGGCATTTTCATTGGTGCAGCCACAAACTCGATAAAAATGTTGCTTGAGGCCTCGCTTTAAGAAAATAAAGAGCAAAGCTAGCTCTACAAATAGATGCTTTTGAATTTTTTAAATTTTTTCATTACTTACTAATACTTAATAAGCTATGAAATAGTCAGCAATTAGAAATTGTTTAATAGGTGTTGAGTTTAGCAAGAATCATCTACTGTTAACTGTTTCTCAAGTGCGCAATTGGTTTTATTCTTCATTCAAGGAGGGAAATGTATTCAGAAGTAACGGATCCGTTTTACATAACTAATTAATCATCTTAACCGTGAAATTCCTAGACAAAAAAGTACAAGTACTTCATTTATTTTTATAAAGTACATTAAGAGCACAGAAGTTGAATTATGCTTCTCATAGATACTATAATATGTCTGTGTGAATATTTAAAAATAGCATATATATACGTACTCTACG